CTCTTTCAGATTCATTGAAACAGATTTCCTCAAATATTACATATAGATAGGGGGGTTAGTTGCGAGGAAGAGCTTATTAGAGTCAAGATGCCTAAGTAACACATTGGAGTAACACATTAGGTAAGTTGGTATACAGATACTAATGGAGTTAACAACTGATGTGGGAACTAAGTTTGGGTCCAGTGGCACCTTTAAGATCAACAAAGTTTGGTTTCTGTATATAAGTGAGAACTGAGTGACTTAGCATGTTTAGTGAGATAAGAAGCTTATATCTCTGTTAAGTACTGGGGGCTCCATTGTTCTGAGTGTTGTAATAATTTGTAATTCAGCAATCTCCCGCTCCTGTCTGTTTCTGAAGTTTCTTTGCGATAAAACAACTATTTTGAGGTCCCCCCATTGAGTGTCATTGGCACAATAGCGTTACATCACGTCTGGTGTTTTACTGTAGAGTTTCTGGCAATTGCTACACATTGTGACATCACTTTTGAAATTTTCCTGGAAGTGATGTAATTGTGCTGATGGCAAAAACCTCCCCCCCATGTCTCTGCCTCCCAATTACCACCAGTGACCAGCTTGCTGGCTGGCAACCCTACTTGTGGCACATGTTCCTGCTGTGTTATGTGGTGTGATGTACCTATGCAGCATGGTTGGGACTTTTTTGATCCAGCACCTTTCCTTTGACTATACTTATTCATTTTGCATAGCACAGTTGCATAACACTTAGCAATATAGGTGGGGCTGCAGCTAGAATAAATAAAATAAAGAGCCTGAGTTGAACTTCTTATCAGCCATGTCCTGTACTGTCATGTGGCTTATGCTGTTTGCCAGAAAAAAGGCTTTATTGCATGTGCTGAGAAATATTGTACAATGTAAAGAAATAATTAAAATAAGAAAGAACTTAGACAAAGCCTACCAGGTTACCATAAGCAGCCCAGGGACTGTGAAGCTATTTACTACCTGCTCTGTTGGTTTTGCTGCCTTATGCATAAAACTTTTCAGAGGAAATTCTGACAGCAAAATCAGTATGCAGTTAGATGGTTACTATTGCAGTAAGCAGCCTTCAAGGTTGGTTAGTGGCACTGCTCTTGGGCAGAGGGCTCTTGGACCTTGCTGATACTTTCCCTCCAGCAGTAAGGAGTTTACTATTGAGTAAGAGGTTTGATGCAAATATAATGCCGTCTGGTGGCCTAACTACAGTTAAGCAACAAGGAGCACGCTGCAGTTCCACATGCTTTTTTCCCCCTTTTCTTTTTCTTCCTACACTTACCATTTTGGCAACCTATTCCACTCCCCTCCCAGGGCTGTCTTTTCCCCTTCCCCCCCTTTACCCAAATAGGAAGTGTCCAGCAGCCCACTCTCAGCAGTAGTCACCTTCTGGGTTGTCCCCCCTCCCCCCGCGGTGCTTGATGATGCAATGGGCTCCACTTGGCAGCCTAAGTAGGTTACATAACCTTGAGTCTGCAGCCCCAGCTGTCAGCTGTCTGTGGCTTCCTCAGCCGAGGTGGATTGTGCCCGCAAATACAGGGCAGGTCTTGTTGCTGGGCATGTGGCTCAGTTTTAATTTAATGTGTGGGCTGCATCTTGTGCCAACAGTTTGATTAAATATTGATTCAACTCTTAATATTTGCAGTTAAATGTATGAATCGCTTGTGGTATTGTGAAGAAATATGGAAGTTCTGTCTGTGAAGTTTCGTTTTATGCTGGTTTATTCATACATACAAATCAACACTTGATACTAATACTAATACTTGATACTAATACTAATGTGTGTGAACCAGTAATTGGAGTGGCAAAATATCTGCTTTAAACCATATTTATGAACAATCTGTTTGTTTGGATTCCCAGGAAATTAAAGAACGAGTTACTGGAAGCAAAACGGAAAGGTGGACGGCGTTGCCAACAGGAGAGCAGTCGGATCTGCGTTCGCTGTCAAAAAAATCTGGGCTTAATTTTTGATAGAGGAGACCTGTGCCAAAAATGCAGACTTAGAGTGTGCAACAAATGTCGTGTTGTAGCGATTGATGGCAGCTGGAAATGCACTGTATGTGCTCAGATTGCGTAAGTTTTGTTCTTAGGCTTATTTTAATGGCAGACTCAATTTCTGGACCTGTTTGTTATGATGCCATTATTAGGTGATATTAAATATACTTTAAATGAGGGAGAATTTTTTTTAATGTCTTTGTGAATAAAGAGATGTATGGACTTCATCTGAGCTAAGTCTGAGTCTTGAAGTACAGGAAACAGAATACTAAAGCATTCGCATTGATAGCTCTTGTTGAAGGAAGACCATTTCTTGACCCCTAGTAGCTCTTCCCCACTCCCAGCCATTGCTGTTCTCTTCTCACTAAAGGAACTGGAGAACTGAGGTGCTCAAGCTTTTGGGGTGGAGAAGGCTAGAGTAGTGTAGTGGTGAGGGTGTTAGTCATCCAGGTTCAAATCTCCATGATTTGAGTCGGAGTAGTGTAGTGGTGAGGGTGTTAGTCTGGGATCTGGGACATCCAGGTTCAAATCTCCATGATTTGAGTCACACTTGCTGAGTGACTTTGGAGTCACATGTCCACAGCCTAACCAACCTCGCAGATTTTTTGTGAGAATAAAACAGAGGGAAGGAGAGCAATGTAAGCCTCTTTTGGATCTCATTGGAGAGAATGGTGGATTATAAAATGCAGTAAATAAATAAACAAATAAATAAGAATTTAAACTGTGCATGTACTCAGTGAAAGAAAAGCAATTGGGGAGGTTGGTCAGACGCAAGCAAACACTGACTATGGCTTAAAAGGCATCCAGGCAAATAAAAACTAACAAAATAATCTCTTAACCTAAATGTGAAACAGTTCCTAGTCCATTTGCAAGTTTCCTGATGTATTCTCTGGATCTTGTTACCTGAGAATCACACTTTATGCCTGAGGACACAACACCACTGCTAAGCCTTCAAGAAATAAGCTTGCTTGAGATCCTGGAAAAGATCACTTTTAGGCTAATGCCTCTCTTTGGATTCTGATTAGGCCCTTCTCCCCTGCTGAAGGTTTGTATGGTTCCAGTGAGGGACTGGACTCTTCCAGAAATGGTATAGGAAACCAAGAAAGTCTGAAAAAGAAAAAAGAAAACATAATGAATCTCTGGCATCCATGCCCACGATTCATTACAGCCCCATCAGTATTCATTAGTATATTTGGATGGGATGTGTGAAAGTAGACCTTGTAGTACAATCTTATTTAAAAACATGAAAAAGGTCAAAGCAATTTTAGAGCATATTGCTTAGCTCTCCCAGTGTTTTCTCAATAATAAATAATAATTTGCTTATTAGGTAGCACTCATGCATTTCAGTGTGCAGAATTAAAATTTTATTATGAAATCTTTACCAAGCAATGTATGTGGGGATTAAATATAACACAGCGAAAAATCTTGAAACGTCTTTTAATGCAATATAAAGAGAAAGAGGGAATGGAAAATACTAAGTACTTGATCAAGTAATTGGTCTCCATTTTACTCTGCATGAGAGAGAAATTTAAAATAAGCACTCCTCTTAATTAAGAGCAAGGATAATGTGTGCTCATCTTCATATAAAGCTTTCTTACTTTTAGGCCAGATTTTTTATTAGTGGGGAAATTATAAACTCTGGTTTACTATAAAGTTTATAAGGCATCTGAATGGGGTGTATATCACAATGATTAAAATCAATTAAGTAGCTTATGCCAGAGTTATGAAGATGGTGATATTATAGCTTCCACTATTAAGGAATTTGCCTTTATGTGATGGTTACTTTCAAATTAGTTTCTCTCTCTGAGAAACCCTTTCTATGCTGCTGGGGGAACCCATAAACAAAACCCTAGTGCATTGCAGAACATTCTGTGGAATGCTCTGAGGAGCACTGTCATTTTGACCAGGGTCCAGGTTGGACCTTTACAGTTTCACTGCTTCCCCACATGATCTGAGAGTGCAATCTACTTTCTAGAACAAATTCAATGTTCCTCTGAAGCTGCACATTACATTGGAATGTTAGTGGCAGACAAACACAATATTTCAGGATGATTTCCCACCATTATTGATCTTCACATTGAGGAGTCACAGGGCTTCTCAGTTTTGGTTAGCACTATGCTGTGGCATTCTAATGGCCAAATTAAACAGTGGTAACATATATAAGCTTGGGTCTGCTCCAGTCATGTGAGAAGAAGTGCATTTAAAGAGCAAAAAAGGGTAACGGAGTGTGCACACGCACATGCACACACTGTGACTTGGGTTGCCAGGTCCCCTCCGGCCACCAGTGGGGGATAGGGGTGTAGGGTTGTCAGATCCAGGTTGGGAAACTCCTGGAGATTTGGGAGTGGAGCCTGGGGAGGATACGGACCTTAGTAGGGCACAGTGCCTTTTAGTCCACCCTCCAAAGCATCCATTTTCTCCAGAGGAACTGATCTCTGTAGTCTGGAGATGAGCTGTAATTCCGGGGGATCCCCAGGTCCCACCTGGAGGCTGGCATTCCTCCTATGACTAATCTCCCCCACAGCCTGCCAACCAGATGTAAAAATCTCCCTCTTGGTCCTTACTCATATCCCACCTATGGACTCTTTTTGCTCTTGAAATTGGACCCTATCCCCTGTTTACTGTGAGATTGGGGCTGGTTCACCTCTAAGTAACTGTAAGTAGATAACACAGATGATAAACAGGCTACCACATGTTTCCTGTTCTATTTACTTTCCCTTTACAAATTTACATGTATACACTTTTTTTAGAAACAGGAAGTAGGTATACTATTGGTTGAGTGTCCTCCGAGATTATGGAAATGGAGGACCTGGTGTCTAGCTCCATCATGCCGGGAGCCAACTCGATCAATATAGTCACATTAATTTTATTGGGGGCGGGGCAGGAGAAAGTTCAGTACCAGTTGCTGCCAGACGGAGGTGGTGTTTGCTTCCATCGTGTGCGCCAGGGTTGCCGTTGGTCGTCTTCTGTTTCCCTTGGAGCGGCAGGCTCGGGTGATGTGGCCAACCTTTCTGCAGGTCCGACACATGGCGTTCTGGAAACGACAGGATCTCCACTCATGGGGATCCCCGCAGCTGGCGCATGGTGTTGATATGGTGCTTTCAATGGCGTGTCGTGGAACAGAGTGATGAGCATCACGCCGGGCTGGGCATGGTAGTTGCAGGACCTCCACTGTCGGGTGTGTCCAAGACTGAGGAGATGGCGGCCTGGTGCACTACTGTGGAATGGTGGTCGGCCTTCTAGTTGCCACCCTCCTGGGACTTCTCGAACGCTGCAGCTACTTGGAGTGCCTTTTGGAGATTTATGCCCTCTTGGCTGACAAGCTTGCGCTGGAGCTTCTCGTCCCTGAGGCCAAACACAAAATGGTCTAGGAGTGCTTCCTTGAGGTTCGTGTACTCACAATGGAGTGCCAGTTGACGCAGGGCGGCAACATAGTCAGAGGCCAATTCACTGGGCCTCGCTTCTCTTGAAGAAATTGAGGCGGTGAGCCAGTCGGGTGGGCTTGGGCGTGAAGTGGTTGGTGAGCGCCTTGATGAGGCTGTCGAAAGTGGCAAGTTTCAGCACGGTTGGTGCGATGAGGCCTTGTGCTAGCTCCAGGGTGGTGATCCTGCAAGAGCTGAGCAACAGAGCTGCCTTCATAGTAGCGTCATTGATGTCTTGGAACTCCACGAAGTACATTAGGCATTCCACCCAGGCATCCCATTTCTCTGGGTGAGTGGGGTTGAACTTAGGCAACAGTCCTGGAGCGGCAGCCATGGTCTCGGTTGCAATGCGATGTGTGTAGCACTGGAGCTTGATGTGGGGTGCAGTGCAGATGGTGCTGGGATGGCTCAACATGATCCCACCTTCGTCACCACTGTTAAATAGTGGGTTCCATGGATGAACGGACCCCTAGTAACAGTGATCAGCTCAACAAGGAGAAGGAAGACAAAATCCCAGGCAGAAGCCTGGTTTCTAAGCATGCAAAAAACCACACCCCCAAACCACACACACACTCCCAACAATAGGCTATTTACATTACATTGTTTCTCTATTGGTCCATTCTAGGATCCTAGCCAACTGTTATTTTGTGGACGCAAGCTCAACCCGACCCCAGGGCTAGTTTAGGGTTGACTCATCCTTAGTACATAACAGTTGTCATTATTAAGAAGCAATCTGAGGTCATGCTTTTCCCTTAAACAAATGAAAACTTTGTTTTTTAATCTTGTCAAACATCTCTCTCTGTAGTGTTAATTGTAACAGACAGTTGCCACATTTGATAAGAATGCATGATGCACATCTGGCTTTAGGCTACAGTTTGGATGGGATTAATGATGATTCAGAGGGCAATATATATCATTTATGTGATTTCAATGGACTCAGTTGCTGCAGCTGAACAGACAATTGTCTTTTCAGGTACAAGTACCCTGTACAGGTGAGAAACGCACACACACCCCGCCTTCTCTAAAGAAGCCACTAAACATGCTGATTTTCTTTCTCTTACAGTAAAATACATTATTAGCATCTAGCTTTATCATTTACCTTCTTGGCTGCCTGGTGTTTTTCCGAACAAATCCCTCATTGATAAGGAAGATGAGCAGGAAGGCTAGGTTTCATTGTAGCTTTCTGTGTGCTTATAAGTTATTCAAAGCAGCTTGTACCCTCAAATTCAAGGTCAAAGATTACAGTGAGGGGAGGAAAGAGAAAATGGATTATGGGGCTGAAAATTTGTTATCTGTACTCTGCAGATTTTGTTGCACATATTTTTGATGAATCTAGATATGCAAAATATTTTAAATACTGGGTGGGATTACTTGTGTGATCCAAGTTATTTACAAGAACTGTTAGTAATCAACTTAAAGTATGAAATTCTGTACACCTGGGACATCAATGAATTGAGACCATCTGCAGTTTTCAAAAAAAGGGCTTTTGTCTCAGTATCAGCTGAAATTGATTCCAGCTACAGCCTCAATAAGTACAGAAACAGTCAACAGAAAGGCACTATCATTCTCTTCAGGCATCACTTTACCCACTTTACCCACGGAACATGCCTTGGATTGAGGGTGGCCAGTTATCCAATTCACCTTCTATGAAGCAGGGCAGGCCTTGCACAGTCCTGCTCACTGTGGAAATAATGGTTTCAAATTAATGTCACTGCAGGGGTTAGTAGTTGATCCTCTGTGCTGAATCTTTGTGCATCATTCATTAGTTTTGCAGCAGACATGCACAATGCTTTGCTGTTAGTGATAACTATAAATCTGCCTGGGGTTTTGTATAATCAAGTAACTGAAAGGGAAAAAAATTGTTCTAAATAAATTGAGGATCTCTGCCCCAGGACTACGGGCTCAAAACCAAGAGAACAATAGGTTCTTTGGAAGTCTGTGTCATGAAAAAGGAATATGCTGTATTTGGGTTGTCTGACCTCTGCTGGGAGTGGGGCAACCCCCGCTTTTGTGAGGTGCTTCCCCGTCGCTGGTCAGCTGGCCGGTGGGGGGAATCCTGCCCCCAACTGGCCCGAAGGCGATGTGATGATGGCACCTGGAAGTGACGTCATCACATTGCTGACATTGTGCTGCAGTGCTCTAGTTTTGGGCAAAACGCTGGTAAAATTGGCTACAAATCATAGAGTTTTGCCCAAAAACTAGTGTCCCCCCCCCCCCCATGTTGGCGATGTCATGATATCACTTCCAGGTGATGTCATTGCTCCACACACGCTTTGCAAATGTGGCAAAAGATCCCGGAGAGTATCAGGGATCCCCCCCCCCCCAGCCAGCTGCCAGGTAGGACTTGGCAACCCTATATCTTATTCTGTTTTCTGGCAGTGGGCTTTATTTATATTTAATGTAAGCTTCATAACAGTGTGATTCACTGCTTTTAAAGCTCTACGCAGCTTGAGGCCAACATACATTAAGCGACTGCCTTCTCTCATATAAGCCTACCCATCCACTCTGGTCATCTTCAAAGGCCCTGCTTCAGTTGCCCCCACCATCTGAGTTTAGATGAGTGGCAATGCAAGAAAGGGTTTTATTGGTGTAGAGCCAAAACATTGGATCTCCTCCTCACATCTGTCTCCCTCAGCAGTGAGTGAAGACTTTTTTTGTTCTGTTTGGCATACCCCAAATAACTGTTACTGCCTCTCCTCCCTGGTTGTGGTGCATGTTTATATGTTTTATTGAATTGTTTGTATTATATGTTTTATTGAATTGTTTAAATACTTTATATACCCTTGTATTTTAAATGCTACTTTTAATGTCTTGATGTTTTAATGCTGAAATGTTTTAATGCTTTGATGTTCTCTATACTGAAGATCCTATTTGGGTGGAAAGGCAGCATAGAAATTTTTTTAAATAAATGAATGAATTCAGCAAGATATACACTACATATTAGTTGTTAGTCAGTGTTTCATCTAAATGATACAGGAGTTAGGCCTGAAAAGGATAAGCTGGAAACACATAAGTGTGTTGTATTTGAACTGTCCGGGTTTTCACTTGGAATTTCCAGATGACTTTTGTAAATAAATATTTATTTTCATAGCAATATTGTTTTTTAAAAATTGAATGTCTGTGCCTTTATTGGAACACTAAAGTACACTCCTGAGAACATTTGGCAAGATATCACCAAGAAGAAGTGAAATTCTGAATAATGGAACTGTTTACTTGGCATTTGGCTGAGCAGCAGACCTTCCAGTTATAACTGAAACTGCCTCCTTCTGAGAATTGGCAGCACAATGCTAGGCACCCTTTCTATGCCCAGGGGTCATTTAGTAGAAAAAGAGCTAGGGGAACTCATTAGCATAACTCATTAGCATATGCCACACCCCCTGACATCAGGGGCCCGGCAGTGGACCTGCAAGGCTGGTGGGAGTGCGAGGAAGCCCCGCCAAGGCCCTCCCTGGCCCCAGGCAGGCAGGGGTGGGTAGAGGCGGGGAGGAAGCAACTTACCCTCCCTCTTCTCCTGCCTCCTCCTGGCTGAATGAGGGCTGGAAGCAGGGCGGCCGGAAGCAGGGGGCGGGGCTTCATCGTGTGCCTCGCCCCCCGCACCTCACCCAGAGGAACTGCGAACCCCCACGATCCCCCCGAATCGACCTCTGCCTATGCCAGTTGCCTTCAGTGGACTTAGAAAAGTGTGACTGTTTTGGATTGCACTGCAAGTGGCTTGCCGCCTTTCTATAAAGGTTGTCCTGCATATCCTGTTATCCTCCCAGGATAGCAACATCCTAGAGATTTATAGATTTGACAAAGTTCTTTTGTTAGAAACTTTAGTCAGAAATCTAATTTAAGCATCTCTTGTCAAGAGAAAAAGATAGTTGCTCCATAGTAAAATAATTTTTTACAAACATTGATTCGATTGATATTTTCTTTTGTCCAGCTTCAAACATGGAAGAAATAAATAGGAAGAGTGAGTGGAGGCATTCGTTAGTGTTACGTTTGCCACATTTGCTTTTGAACCCCTGGCTTCCTTTGTATATCTTTTCGCTTCAGCTAATGCACTGTATATAATTAATACTAATGTTTCGACCTGAACAAGAATGTTCCCATGTCACCTGGCTATCAGTTGGGTCAACCATATTTGTGAATCCTGTTTGAGGGATCATTTCAGTTCATCAGAGCTGATCCATTTGGTGTGCCAATATTACAGGTTCTACTTTGTGCTAATATTTTAATGTATGCTTGAATAGATGGTCACATAGAACAGCTTGCAACATCCCCCCCCCTTTCTGTTCTTATACAGGCACCTTCGGATAGTAACTGGTGAATGGTTTTTTGAAGAGAGAGCAAAGCGTTTCAAACAGTCCAGCTTCCTTGGTACTGATGTCATCAGACGGTCCATCGTACGCAAAGGCCCTGGTAAAAATAAAAATAGAAAAAGGGGGTTGTTATCCTTAAATCTGCATGTCTAAAGCCTTACTGTTGTCCTAATGTGCCCCCTCACCCAGTTAATCCAGGGGATTGGGCTGGGTAGTCACCAGTACGCTGATGACACCCAGCTGTATCTGTTAATGGATGACCAGGTGGACTCTGCGCTGGATATTTTGGCTGGGGCTTTAGAGGCTGTGGCTGACTGGTTACAACAGAGTCAGTTGAAACTTAATCCAGCGAAGACGGCAGTCCTATTTCTGAGCTGTGGGGGGGATGGGTTCGGGAATCCAACTCCCAGCCCTTGCTGGGGCACCGTTGACACTGGTGCCAATGGTGAGGAGATTGGGGGTGATTCTGTATGTCACCCTTTCTGTGGAGGCCGAGGTCACTAATGTTGCCAGATCAGCCTTCTACCATCTTCAGCTGGACAGGCAACTGGTTCCCAACCTTTCCTCCCGTGATTTGCCGACAGTGATCCATGCAATGGTCACTTCCAGGCTTGATTTCTGCAACTCAGTCTACATAGGCCTACCCTTGAACCTGACTTGGAAGCTTCAGTGAGTACAAAATGCAGCCATATTCCTGATGACTGAAACATCTGTGCAGGCACACATTCAGTTGGTGTTGCGCCAACTGCACTGGTTGCCAGTTGATTACCAAGTCCAGGTTCAAGATTATGGTATTAACCTTTAAGGCCTTACATGGCCAGGAACCAGCATATCTGGCGGCACCGTCTCTCTCCATATGTGCCCCAAAGAGCCTTGCGCTCTTCTGACTAGCACTGTTTAGTAGTCCCTGGTCTGAAAGACGACTGTCTCACTTTGACCATGGCGCCAGGTCCTTTTCAGCCCTGGCCCTGGCCTAGTGGGACATGCTCCCAACTGAGGTAAGGACCCCGCGGGATCTATTGCAATTCTGCAAGGCCTGCAAAACAGAGCTGTTCCACCAGGCCTTTGGTTGAGGCAGCAAACGTCAAAGAACATTAGTCTCCCCTGCCTCAACTGCCTCAATTACTCCATGGTGCTATTCATATTTATTGGCGCCAGGAGTGGTTGAGTTATTCCATCAGAACGATCCACTGCCTTTCCCTGGCATTAACTCAGTGTACGCTGAAATGTAATTAACTGCCGAGCTGCCAGTTAGGTATTTTAAATTAGTAATTTATATTTTAACTTTGTTGGTATTTATGTTTTGAATGTATATTTTATGGAACTGTCTAATTGTTTGACATGATGTAAGTCGCTCTGAGCCTGTTTGCGGGGTAGGATGGGAAGTAAATCTCAATCAATCAATCAATAATAGTTGGTTTTAGTTTTACTACTGCATATTAAACTAGCATATGCCAACTGTTTTTCAAAACTTTTTTAAAATTAGTATGCTTTATGTTTTATATGGCATTCTGCGTGATATTCCATCCAGAGATGTCATCAGCAATTGTTCCAAACTACTCACTGGATTCATTTGCCGAGACTTTAAAAATGTTTCTATCAGTTGCACTCCTATGCCTATATTTTATGCTATTTTGTTTTTGTTTTGTTTTTAATTTTATGTTTTTCTCCTGAACATCTCTCCTAAAGTCCAATTGAACTTACTGAAACACATAAACCTGGGCATCAGATTATAGGCATACATTGCAATGCAGCAGTGTTAGTATACATGAAGTTATGTCCCAGCAGGGGATTTCATGTGCTTGTTTATTGTCAAGAACACTACATGAATATGAAGAATTTTGCCTTTTAAAAGACAGTATTCCCACCCCTACGCAGGGTACCCAGTCCTTGCAGATTCATGAATATTAGAATGGCAATTCAGTGATTTCTATTTAAAATGTATATAGTACATAACTATGTCAGAGCCACATGATGTACAGGTTTCTTGTAGAAGTTGCTGGCATAAATCATGAATAATGACAGACAGACAAGCCTTTATATATAATTCCAACATGCCCCCAGCGTGCAGATATCTAAATCTACACATCGGGGGCACCTGGGGGGCAGGGAGATTTTCCTGCACATTTGAGGCAATCCCCAGATGTGCAAAAAAATCTAAAAAGTTGAAAAAAGTATACGGGGGATATTTAAATCCCCCCAAAAGTAAAACAGCCTTCCCTGCACATGCGCAGAGAAAGCACTTACCAACAGGAACTTTGGCTGCTGGCGGCGGTGGCGTGGGAAGAGAAGCCTTGGCAGCTGGTGGCTGGGAGCCGCGGCCATTGCTGGAGGGGCCATTGCTGTCGTTGCTGCTGGTGGGGTATTAAAACACATAAGATAAACATGAGCATCATAAAAAGAAAATGTCACACATTTTTAAAGCCATCTCCAGGTAGTCAAAAGCACTGCCTCTTCCCCTGCTGTGCAGCCTACCAGTTGAGATCTGCCTCGCAACTTGAGTCATAAGCCCTGCTCTCTGCGCCTCCGCCTTCAGAGGCAACATGGGTGGCAACCAGAGACAGGCCTGTTTCAGGAGTGGCACCTCTCTTGTGGAATGCCCTTCTCCTTGAGGCTCACCGGGTCCCTACATTGCCTTTTAGGCGCTAGGCCAAAATGTTTCTGTTCACCCAGGCTTTTAATTATAGGGCTTATTTTTTAACACTATTTTAGACCGGAAACTTTTATTTTAAGCTGTCTGTGGTCTGTTTATATACTAGGCTGGGTCGTCCCCCCCCCCCAAATTCTGGTTCCACAGGGCCTGCAAGACGGAGCTCTTCCGCCGGGCATTTGGTTGATGCAGTGAACGTCCCCCTCTCCCTCCAGCTTCTCTGGCCCAGCTTTCTCCAGCCAATTGTCCATCAATGGCCTGATTCTGATCGGTCATCTGATGACCTCTATAGTTGCACGGTATTTTATTATATTTTATGTGTAAATTGTTATTTTAATACTATTTTAATTGTATTATTTAACTGCTGTACACTGCCCTGAGCTCATTGGGGAGGGCAGTATATAAATCTAAAAAAATAATAAAAATAAATAATAAATAAATCTGGCCAAGGAGATGGCTCTGTGCAAATTTGGAGCTATGAGTAGAGGTATACAGCTGGAAGGTTTGCATTTGGAACAATCTCTAAGTTTAAGAGAGAACAGGTTTGGTTACCCAAGCTATAGAGAGTTTGCAACCCTGAACCCAATAAACTAGATTTTATTTTTGAACATCATTAATGATGCAAGGTGGAGTTGTCATAGCACATGGTGACAGTGCTGCACATATTTTAATACAAATCTTCAGTTTAGTTTTATCAATAGAGATCTCTTTTACAACAAAAACTATAATTAGTTTAGATACTTTTTGTACAAATGTATTATGCGAATAATGATTCTATGGAATGCGATCAATCTTGGGCATGTGTTTACTTATATGTATTGAAGAAGAAGAAGAGGAGAAGAGATTGGATTTATACCCTGCCCTTCACTTGGAGTCTCAGAGCGGCTTACAAACGCCTTTCCCTTCCCCTCCCCACAACAGGCACCCTGTGAGGTGGGTGGGGCTGAGAGAACTCTGACACAAACTGCTCTGTTTCAAGGACAGCTGTGCCAGAGCTTGTGACTGACCCAAGGTCACATCAGCAGGTGCAAGTGGAGGAGTGGGGAATCAAACTCGGTTCTCCCAGATTAGAGTCCGCACTTAACCACTACACCAAACTGGCTCTACACTACACCAAAGTTAATTCTTCTGACTGGATTCTAAAAATATTTCCACACTTATAAGATTTTCTTTTATTTTGGTGACTAACACAAAAATTAAATTCAAATGTCCAACTAAGGTATGAACCACAGAGAAAACATTTATGTAAAATTCCTTCATTTAAGAACAGGATAAGTTTGATGGTGAATGCAATTACAGGCTAACTAGTGAACTGAACCAATATGTTGAGATCTCTGTCTTATGATATTGTTGCTGCTGGCCACTGTGTAATGTATATAAAGAAATGTGTGTGTATATATGGGGGAACCATTGTTTGGTCATGGAATGCACACTGTATATGTAGAAAATTCCAGGTTCAGTTCCCTGCAGCTCCCTTTAAAGGGTTTGCTGGTTACAGGACTGAGATTTCCTTGCCTTGGAGGCCTGATCCCAGTCAGTATTGGGTTTCATGCATCAGTGGTCTGGGGCGGTAAAAGGAAGCAGCTTAAAATGCACATGTGGCATAAGCTTTGCCATTGCATGCTTTGCCAGCAGGTCCCAGAAACTGCAGTAGTGGTGTTGGGATTTACTGCATGATGAGGCTGATCATGCAGCAATCGCACAAAGCTCCTATCACTGGGAAGTGGCTTTTAATAGCAATTGGACTCCCTGCCTGACATATATGAAATAGACTTCACTGAATATGTGAATTCAAATATGTGAATTCTCACTGCTGTTGCAACTTCTAGACCAGGGGTGTCGAACTCATTTGTTACAAGGGCTGGATCTGACATAAATGAGACCTTGTTGGGCCGGGCCATGCGTGTCATAAAATGTAATGCCAGGTAGCAGAGATATAAACTTCATAAAAGATACAAACACAATTAAAGATACTAATTTGTTTACTTAAAATACAAATATGCTTAAAACCCCAGTGATATTTTGTTTATTTAACAGCCTTTGATAACTGACTCCTCTCAAACCTCCCCCCAAAAAAATGCCTGTCTAAAATGGAAAGGGTTGGAAATAGTGGAGTTTGGCAATGTAATTTTTAAAATAAAACTGCAAGAAAAAGCACAAGGAACACAGCAGAAACTGAAAATATAAACTAAACATATAAAATGCTCTGAGCCTTGGAACGTAAAATGGCTGGGCACTGCAAGCTTCTCCCCTCCCCCCGAGGTCTACTCAGAGTAGCAGTGGCTCTCCAGTGTAATGTCCCCCTTTGGCTGTGGGTTCCCAGGTTAGAGTACTCACTGAGGCCCCTGTTCTCAGGTCCATTCAGCAGAGACAAGCTGGCTCAAAACATCAACCCTGTATTTGCAAGGAGACAACTCCAGCAAGCAATACCTATACCAGGGGTGGCCAGACTTGCGTAATGTAAGAGCCACATGGAATAAACATCAGATGTCTGAGAGCCCCGAGATATGAACAAATATTGCACACATGTTTTTATTGAAAAATATGCAAATTTGCTTTTTATTAACATTAAATGAAACTGCGAAAAATAAAAACAAAAGGGGGTAAAAACAGATATTGATAATGATATTTATTTGTCCAATGAGATTTAATTGTTTGCTAATGATATTTGTTTAAGAGGTGGAAAGAAAGCAAATGGATGGGAGAGGGAGGAAGGAAGGGGGAAAGAGAGAGAGGTGAAAAGAAAGCAAATAAATGGGGTGAGAGGGAGGAAGGGAGAGGTGGAAAGAAAGCAACTTTAATTTTAAATTTCTCCAGCCCCTCCACGCCTCCACACCAGCTGGCTTGGCTTGGAGAAGGGATTTAAAGAGACAAATGCCATCTCCAAGCTGGGGGGGGGGGCGTT